TGGCATATAAAGCTGGCGAGGGAACGCCGCAGTGGATTGCCCAACACACCACAATCCGAAGCATTTTCTGCCTTTGACGACCACCTCAATAACTACCATGCTGCCTTGGAATCCGTTTCTTGTTTGTGAGATAGAGGTCAGCCCCAATGGCGGTCCTGGCTCCTGTTGCGGCATGACGAAAAAAGGCGAGCCGTGCAAAAACTCGATCAAAGTTGAAGACACCAAGATCGGCCATCAAAAGTTGACCACTCTCGCCAGAGAGCCATTTGACTTGTCACCGTTGCAGTCGAAGCTCTGTGACGTCGCCAGAGACTTCCTCTGCGCGAGATGGCACCGGCAACGGCAGGCCGACCAAGTTGGCCAGCTGTGGTATGAAGCCGCCGTCCGCAACCAGGCGCGAGTACCACATGGCTCCAGTATGGCCTCTCCATCAGTTGTTGTACATCCAGGCCAGCGTCAGACATCGTCAGCCTCCAGGCGACGCCCTGCATCAGACAACACTGGCCCGTCACCTCCTCACAGGCTCAGACAAATCCCGCCGGTGCGGCTTTCAACCAACCCCGAGCCAGTGCAGCCATTCAATCCATTTGTGACTTCTGCAATGCTACGGACGAACAGTGTTCCATGGCGCGTTTCGCCGACCCGACCAGCCATCCTCTCATCGGCAACTAATATCCGGGTGGGTGTCCAAGACTTGACGCTGCAGAGTCTCAGGCCGAGCCAAGCGGTCGACAGCATCCACGTCGACAGCATCTACTGTGTGTTCTGCCAGACCGAGGATGAAGACCATGCGGACGAGAGCGTAATCTTACACTGCGGTCAGTGCACATCGCTCTGTCATCTGTCGTGCGCCGAAGAATGGTTGGAAAAGCGAGATACAGGGTTTGGCACGTCATGCTGTGTGTGGTAAGTGTGGATAACCTTATTTCTGAGACGACCAAGATACTGATGACCGCAGCCGAAACGAAGGTGCCCTAGATGCCTTGATTCGCCCTTTACCAATCACCTCATCGGATGCCGAAACACATTCCGTCCTCGCAGCAAGTGAATCATCTCCCGATGGTGGGCCCCGTCGCTCAACCAGACTTGCAGGGTCTCATTTACCACGAGACCCGTCCACCTCTGCACCGCTTCGCCGGTCGGCACGACTCTCCACTCTGCGTGCGTGATCGTAGAGTGCAGGCGAGGTAAGATGCAAATAGAACAAGCGACTGCCAATCACACGTGAGTGCACGTGACCGACACTCGGCATCGTGATCAGCAACTGTGGTTGTAGCATTGACATAGATTTTTGGAGCAAGCTTAGCAAGAAATGAGATCCTGATTGTAAAAATCCACAGTACAAGGCGACAGTTCATTTTTGCAAGTGCTGGGCACCACTAGACCTTAGCCAAAAGATACTGGCTGCTTTACTTAATTTGACAATGACATAGCGCTAAATGTGCTAGTAGATTCAGTTTCTTCTTTCATCATACCTAACGGCGTGACCAGAGAACACACCGATTCATCTCAGGGGCGCCGTGTCACAAAAAGGCGGAGATTATTGGCAGAAAATCGCAACTAGCGTGCTGGCGTGAGACTGACAAACTCGTGTGCTTGTTAACTTGATTATGGGAATCAATATGTTGGCCCTGGAACCTCAACGGCATTTTTAGGAGCTGCTTATCCCCTAGGAAATACTCTTGAGATCCTGGTGCTATTTCTATTTCCAGGAAAATGAGATCTAGCCCTGGGATCTTCACTTTACGTACCTGACTGAACACGAAACTAGCTCTGGGAATACATCGACCATATCTGGGAGCTGTGGAGCCCCTGGGAGCTTACTTTAGGGCCCTAGAGTCACTCTCTTGCCTTCCGAGATCGTCGAAAGTCCTCACAAAACACCTTCACCGGACCTGCGCAAAATCCTGCGTCATTCGTCACACCTAGAAGGCCAAATCATCGCTCCAGGAATCAAGCAAATCGTCAACAGGAACGCGGCTTTGATTCCCCGAGGTGGGGATACCAGACCCCAGAAGCTACATCGGGTTTCCTGGGGGATATGTGGCTCCTAGAAGCTGCTTCTTTGCTCCCAGAAACGTTTCAGGGGCTTCCGGGAGCAGGAGAACTCCCAGGGTCAAGACAGGAGTTTCTAGCACTGATGGAACCGTCAACCGGAGCGTGACCGATACTTGATAGTGATGATAAAAATGTTTATGTTCGTATCTGGATACTGCTATGGGTATCTGTTTGCTGTTTATACGGACGGGGACAGAAAATGCGCATCAACAAGGAGAATCTCACTTTGCCCTAGACTTCAGCCGTGAAAGACATCAAGCCCAAGCAAATTGATACCAGACGCGTCAGGCATAGTAAATCTAGTTCCCCCTGATTTCTGGAGGCAGTAATGAGACGGCGTCTGAGATAAAAGACCTGCTATCTGTAGAGGATTACCGAGCACGGCAAAGCAGAAATACTTACTCTAGTTAAGTCCAAGGTAAAAGAGAATCATGCTATTACTCATTCATATGAGAACAAGAGCGAGTTAGAACAGTATCTGCGACCTTAGGAACTTCAAATCTTCCGAGGACCACAAAGCAGCCATGGAGGACATCGCAGGCTCAGCTGGACTAGGCTGGACTAGACCCAATCACGCCGTTCTGAAACTCCCTGTTTATGCACTATAGCGTAGATTGGTTGCTTTCAACATCACTTTTTCACTCCTAAATCTGACATGGATTATGTACATGGCTTGGTCGAGCGGCAAATTGAGGAAATGATAATTTACCCAGGAACAAATGCGGCCCTGGCCCTTAAGCGCATCTAATTGGAATTGCGAGGTATTCTTTGCTCTGCATTTTGACTAGCTTTTAGAACTTCACAGGTCCTGGGTATCATCAACCAAGGACAAACAACGGTGGCTAAACGAATGCATGGCTTCAACAGGCCTCAATTAGGACAGGCACCCATGCCTTCCTTTTCAAAGTTCCCTATTTCCTGCTCTACAGGCCTGGATGTCGGGTACGGATTTCCACTGACGTACATTTTAGTTTGTTGCCAGAATAGCAACACCGCTAAGTTCTAGACTGGGCCAGAATATGGAATCTGTATATGAGGTGTCTCGATCTGCTGAAGGACACATACTGTAACCCATCATTAGCAAGAAAGACAACGGTCTTTGACCGAAATTCGCCACGCCTAATTCTATAACAGTCGGGCCAGGGTCACGTCGACCAAATTTACAAGCTGACCAGAAGGCTAGGGAGAACCGAAAACCGGATCAACATTCGTTGGATCCCTACATGTACTAGTGAAGAGAACAAATTGTTGGGCCTAGCGAAAGAGCCAGGACCGCTACCCAAGCGGATGCTCTCCTCCAAGCACGAGTTCCTAGGATGAAGTCAACAACCCTGAACATCGCACAGTCACATGTAGCCACTGGGAAAGGCTTGCCAGAGAACGTTGGGAAACACGTCAAACGAGTGGATGCAGCACTTCCAGAAAAACACACTCGACAGCTGTATGATCGCCTATCGTGGAAAGAAGCAAGCGTGCTGGCGCTCAACTCCGGACTGGCATGGCAAGACTCAATGGATATCTCTATTGAATCAACGCGGCAGAGACGGATCAGTGTGCATGTGAACAAGCGAAAGAGACCGTGGAGCATTTCCTTTTTCGATGTCGGAAGTGGACTGCGCACCGAACGGAACTGCTACAGTGCACCAACTACCTCGTGCTACAGATGGTAGACGCGCTTCAACTGCCGAAGATAGGATGTTGAACACTTGGAGAAGCGCCTTCAAGCCAGCCTACTAACAAAATTACTAACCCACGAGGTTCCGCTGCGACACTGCTTGCCTGAAATGACATATATGGCAAGGTCTTATGTACGGGCTCTAAGGAGACACAGTACTGTGTATATTATGACATGTATAGTAGATCAGAGATAGTTGCCCTTCCGGCTTAGCCGCCGGGCGTTAATAGATTGTGTGTGTGTATATACCAATAGCATCGGGTCGCCAGAACTTCAACGTGTTTTAAGAAGAAATGAGAGGTGGCAGAAGATTCAACAGGCCGAGAGAAGGAAATCGGTGGCGTGGAAAAGAAAAAAACAAAATAACCCGGAGTGCAGAGGAGATTTTGCATGCGGCTACAACATACAGCATATTCTAGGGGGGAACAGCATCATGAGAATTGTCCGCGGCCCCGGCACTCCCTAAAGTGAGACTTGTTAAAGTCCGGTATTGCCCAACTCTCCATCCACTCGCATTTTACAATATCCTGCGCAGTTGGCCGCTTTTCCGGCTCAAAAGACAGCATCGACCGCAGCATATTCATAACAGCAGCTTTCTCTTCTAAGTCAAAACCTTGGATTCCAGCCTGTTGTCGCGGGAGTTGAATGTGCTTTTCAAAGCGGTCTTCCCAAGACCTCACATGTCGACCTTGATTTGGTTTTCCACTTTCATCGAAATATTTGTGCCGCGCCCCCATTTCTCCCACCACCGTAAAGGTAAGTTCCCCCGAGTATCAATCTGCTCGGCTGTGATATCGTCCGGCGTGGCAAGTATGTCCTCAAATAAGGGGCGCTGGCCGAGTATTATCCAGATAGAACATGCGAGTGTCCAAATATCAGCTGAAAAAGAAAGACCACACTCTGACTCAAATCGGGCTTCAGGAGGCACAAAGGACATAGGGGCGTGCGAGTTATGTCGGTACTCTGTAGAGGGTCTGTATGCCTCTCCAAAATCACTGAGCAGGACTCTAGATTCTGGAAGGGAGAATTCCTCTGAAGCTTTCCCAAGCCAGATAGGAGGGACGACGCTAGACGGAACACTAGATTCAAGGGGCTGACCATCAAAACGTATAACTGGTTCTGACACGGGCGAACCGTATTTTTCGTATAACTCTTCGATTGAGAGCTGATCAAAATCGGCTGGGAGACATAAAAGAATATTGCCGATGTGAAGGTCTGATGTAGTTGTTGTATAAGCATATGGTTGTAAAGCTATAAAGAATGGTGACTAACCTCCATGAACAACTCCTTTGCTGTGGATGTACTCAACGGCTAGCAAAAGTTGCACAATCAGCGAGCGAGCGGTCATGGCCTGAAAGATGCGTTTGTATGACCCTTCCTTCGCACTAGAGACACTACACATTGCTAGGGTTGTCACATAGCAAGGGTGGGTGCCGTTAGGGCCATGGAGGACGAATCTATCTTTGATAGCGGGTATCATTGTCCTCCCCGGGTGATCAAGTGGGGAAGAGTGGTTGAGATAATTGAGGACATCAACCTCACGATCATTTGAATCCGCCGTTCCAACTTTGACTGCCACGTATGTATTAGACTGGTAGTCCCGGCAGAGCCAAGTGGTTGAATAGGCTCCGTAGCCTAGCTTGTGGGCGACTCGGTATCGGGATTGAAGAATATCTCCTACCAGAATAGGGTGATATCCACCAGGCTGGTACTTTTCAAGTCTCTCGACTTCTTCTATCGGTACATATTTGAAGGGGAGTGGACCAGAGTCAGCACTGGACGAGAAGTTCTTGAAAGCCATAATTGACTTGCATGCGAGTTCACCAACAGAGATGTTCCAAGAACAAGGATAGCAGAGCAACGAGGAAGATGTTGGGTGAATGAACATCCGATATATAGAGCTTCGTTGACGAGCCCAAAGTGAATTTCGCGACCTGATCACGAAGGCCATTACCGGACGACGTGAGTTAAGTAAATGATTAGGCGGTGAAAGTCCGATTAATTATGCCCGCCACAAGGTCATCTTTGAAAAGGATAGTTTTCCTGTAGCTTGACGTATTGGGTGCTTGGTAGATGATAAGTTGACGTCTAGAGCGCACATGACCCGCCTGTGTTGTCTTAGTCAGTCGCCGTAGCGACCGCGCGGACGAGGCGGCTAGGGAAATCGCGGAATGTTTCAGATTCTGGTGGAGCAACGCCACTAAGCCACAATTCCTAAAGGAGGGCACAACTTCTACTAGATGACCACAAATATCAGTGGAGAGGAGAATTCGGGCAACTATACATCCGAAAAGTGTGTGCCAAGCCCCTATTATTAGCCAATCAACTACCCATTTGGAAATTGAGCTCTTCCTACAATTAGTTCTAATGAGACTATTTGATAGAAATCAGATGTATGGCGAGCGCACTAATAAAATTCACAATGGTAAAATTCTCTAGCTTATTAAAAACAACAATGATTTGGTTTTGACAATCTGGTCAGACACAATTAGTAAGCAAATGCATAATACAAAAAGTCACATGTTTGTTTCAACGGTAAAAAGACAGTATCTTCCTGTTTCTTGACACTATCTCTGAAATATACATGCAGGTGGCCCCGCTGTATATAGCTTGCGATATGTACAGTGACGCAGCAATGTTTTAACACCCTTGGACAGACTGCTTTTGAGACCGCCTATTGTAGACAGAAGAGCAAGTTTATGATATCTTACTTTTTAAACATTCTTGTTTCAGTAGTTGTTTTTCATAGAAGGTATGGTTCATTCAATACACAAAAGCCAAGTGTTTTATTAAAAAACAAGTTAAAGAGTGTTGAAAAAATCGAATTTTTGACCGGCAGAAATCAAAAAATCAGAGGGGTGTTAAAACATTTGCTGCGTCACTGTATCTGCTAACATACAGTACTTTCCGTGCGCTTCTATCACTTATTTGCCAGGCGTTGGATCCTCTTCGAATACTTAATGTAGTTTGCTTCGCGTGGGATTACAGACCCGCACTAGTTGTTCAGACTCTCGGTTGGATAGTCGGACTGAACCTAACTCCAGGCCTCGTGCTTGTAAAATAGTATGAACCATACCGTGGTTCACTCCTGGCAGTGGGCCCGGGATTAAGAACAGAATGTAAAATGGTGAACCTGGCTTTGCAATTATCACCCAAGTAACAGTCCAGTCTGCTGCAATAGTGTTTCAATAAAATAATGTTCACTGTTGCTCTGTATTGACGGCGATCGGTGGTTTGAAAATGTATGGTACCATTCAGTGGTAGGCTAATTCTTTAAGATGACAAATGGAAAAAGACAATTTCAACCTCGCAATAGACACGCTGACGAATAATAATACGCACTGTAGGGTATTCCAATTTCCACAGTAATGTGTTCTATAAATCCATGTAATTTTCTTTGTTTCTGCCAAGTTTTACTAGCCACTTTATCTACCATTCTTGGATTTTCCGCACAAAGCACCAATTGCAACACGAACCCAATTGCAACACGAATTTACAGAGCAGCAGCTATCACCATCCCCTGGTGAATCCTCATAACAAGTGTTGGGTTTGTATCGACCGGTTGCTACCCTTCAAGATCCAAGTATATTGGTAATCCGAAACCTAGCCACTACCAGCACTTGGAAAGTGACCATACCCAATCTCCGGTGCAACATCTAACTCCATTTCAGAAGGCCATACCGGCTTTCCATTCGACTTCAAGTGGGAGTCTGGCTTCGCCCCCGAATGAGTCGCTTGAAGAAAAGTCAAGTCCCCTTTGCCCTTGACGTAGCCATGAGAAGCAACATGGGTATTGCTGGCAAGCTGGACGTCATCCTTGAAACAGAGAGTGACATGCCAACCCAAGGGATCCGGCTTGTGTATGCCTCCTTGACTGGTACTGGAGTGCTCGTTGGACCTGCCAGTCGACGTTAGCGAAGTCTCTAATGACATGGGCCACAAGTCTCTATATCACTGTTCGTTGTGCTGAAATTCTTTCTCACCTGATGAGGATGGCCTTGGGGTAGAGTTTTCTGTCTCTTGCGGTCTGATAGGCAAGGGCTATCAAGTCTCGCAGCCTCTGTTGATTTTCAGGGAGCATTCCCCGGTAGAAGTAGTATTTCACCATGTTGATGGTCGACATATTAGGCCAGTGATTCAATTATTATCGGACTGTATCTTAACAGTATAAGGTGGAATAGAATCGACGAGATGTTGGCTAGTTCAAGTGGTCACTAAGAAGAGAGGTTGGGAGGAAAGATCCACCACAGCTGCTGAGGAGCTAGTGTTTATAAACATGAAAGAATCTTCCTAGCTAAACCTCTTTATGCAGACCTGTCACATCACAAGTCAGCCGCCAGCCACAAAAGAAACGCTAGGAAGGCCAACTTTGAAAGCGGAGGGCCCATCAACAACGTACAAGTTTGGAAGCCACGTTCAGCTGTATCGGTACATATTTGACCCCTACACTGCTTGGCAGAATACTTGCAAGAGTAGTTCTCTTGGTTTTCTAAAAGATATCGACACTAAACCTCATGTGGGCTGTGCAAGTTGCCTAATGGGGGTTGCGCATTTATGCGCAACCCCCATTAGGCAAGGCAAGGCAGATAAATTACACCGATCAAATGGCCCACGGCCCTTTGGAAATGACTCGGAACATGGCGGCCCAGTAATATTATCCCGCCACCGATCGGACATTGGTGAAATCATCGGCGGCTGGAGTAAGCGCTTTGGGATGACTCGTGTGATTATGCAGCAGATAACATTATTTGTCACATCTATAGGCTACCCCGCTTTATATCATAAAGTACACCACGCATATATACACAGGTACCTCATTGGGAACTATCAAAATCTCCATCCATCTCTTTGGACTCAACAACGACTATGTCTCAAAGCAACCGTGCATTCCAATTCGAAGGCAGCGACAGTGATTACATAGCCTTCCTTGAGAGTCGGCTTTCAGCTGCCTTAAGCCAAGGAACTAGCCAGGCTTCTGTTGGCGCGGCGATTTCGCGATGCGATGCTCCAGCGACCACATCATCGGATTCTCGGCCGACTACTTCTACGACTGCATTAGCGGACTCTCAACATGGCACTTTAGCTATAGCATCAACAGCATCAGCGGAGTCTCAGCCTAGTGACTATCGGAATGGATGTTCAGTGTTTCGCGCTTCTCGTCCAACCAGTCCTCGTTCGACTGGATGTCCTCCTTTGTCCACTAGAGATGATCTCAAAATTCTATATTACGACCCGATCCGAAACCGCGACAGCGATCTTCCCGATAATGCTCTCTCCAAGTTGCCATCCTTTAAGCAAACATCGGTTGTTGAGGCCCAAGGCTTGAAGGAGCTCAGACATTTCATTGAGGACGTTATGAGGAATTCTCATTGGATTAAAAAGAAGAAAGAGCTAGGATTATCTCGCCCAGAAATCAACCAAGATACCATTCACGCGCTGTGTGGTCGACCGTCAGCCTCAAATCTGCGCGATGAGTCAAACTTATACCCAAATAATGAACCCTCAGAACACAGCGCCTTGATTATGCGAGGATGCGACTATGGCGCGTTGACGAAAGATAGAAAACTGCAAGGTAATCTTCTCCTTCACATCGCCAAATACCAACAGCTCATATTTGTGTCCTTATGTGTCGTCATGCTTGAAATTGGAGCTCCGATTGATAGTGTGGACTGGATGATGCGACGATATATCAGTGATACTAGCTCAGCGAATCTCCGGCGACTTCGATATGGATGTAAATGGGTAAATCGTTGCATGTCTAAGTTGTTGGAACGGAACTGGGGGTTTTTAAGTTGGGAAGCTTTCCTCTTATGTTGGTATTCCCATCCAGAGTAGCTTCTTGATGCTGATCACCTCAAAAGTTCCCCGGTCTATCCAACAATACGGACGATTTGCATACACGAAAAACAGTTGCGAAACCTTCGTGACAGATATGGGGACGCCCGATCTGGCACTTCCTTTCGCTGAGGATGGGCTCAGTCCGTACTGCCTTCCTTGTTTCATTAAAGTGATCGCCGGCAACGACTTAAAGTATATTGACCTCATGAATATTGGTGAACACATGCTTATTTATACAGGCTAGTTGATATTTGCAACAGTTTGGGCTATAGCATCCTACTCGTTTCTCCGATATACGAAAACCACTTCAATAATGCCCCCTGGACTTCAATCCTTTCATACATGCATACAGCGAACCTGTCGTGGATTTCAATCCATTCACATATGCACGTAACGACCCGGTGGTGAATTTTGACGCCTTCAACCAAGTATTTCCCAGTGGCGCAGACAATCCATGATCCGAGGAGCGAGGGGAAGAAACAGAAAGCAGCATGCAAGCCGACAGGTAGGCTGACGAGAATGAAACCAGTTGTAGAAGTTATATGCAAGAAGGAAAGACGAAAGAGGAAAGAGAAAGGCAAGAGCTGGCCGCTGAGAAATCAACTCATTATTTTGTCCGTATGCGATCAGCTTAGGAACATGTTAGCGATGGGCAAGCGCTGAGCGGCTTTCCTACATACCTGGTGATAGGGGGAACCGCAAAGATAGCCGCGAGCCTGGGCTCAACGGTAACATCACCATCGATTCGTCTCATCAGACCATGCTTAAAAGCACCTCCGGGTTCGCTTCGCGCCGAATCTGATATGTTGCAGATAGGTATAATATTGACGGGGCCGGGTAACTTGTCCCATTTGAAAGATGTGTTCCACATCCATACTGTGAAGTTCCAATTCTGAGAATAAATTAGTAGGTCGCCATTCATAGAAACTTCCAACCATACTGGAAGGCCAACTGTTCTGAGAAGAGGCTTAACGAAAGCCGAAACCTCTTTGTGCTCATACTCTAGATTTCCATTCCCATCGTCTTGGAATTTCATGCCTGAAAGTGCTAGCGCGAGGGCATGTAGCAGGCTCTTTGCTTCTTCGTTGAGAGATGAGTCTGTCATACTGAGCTGTGTCAGTACGCGATATCAGCGAGTATTTCCAATTCCGGCGTTAGATCTCAACTGTCCAACGTGGAGTCAAATAACGCAATGATGTGGGCAGATGGAAACGTGTACCTCTATTTTCAAGCGGAAGAAGTTCGGAGCGACCGAGGTGTGGATAAAAGAGGAATTGCCGTCGCAGAACACTTGAAGATGACCGCGGGGTGAGGGGCACTCTGACGGGTCCCGTGACCTTCGGTGCCCATCGTTCGACGTGGGTCCACGACAACCTAGTGAGATCACAGCCCGACCAGTGGAGATACTATTTGGGTATTAGACATCCGTCTTGATCCTTAGCATGCTCATAGTGATATTTACTCTACCAACACCCGACATTTACCAAGTTGGTATTTTGCGAACATTATCCCTTTCATACATTATCCGGAATTTAGTTCCAAGGTTATAAGGGAGCCGTGTCACGGGACCACCCACTCCCTCTCGGGTGTGGGTGGTCCCGTGACACGGCTCTGCTTACTTATCATATATGTGGTGAATCTCCATTAGGCAAACCACCTTTCACCAAGGTCCAGTGGGGAATGTGACACCACTACTAACTAATTTACAATTTATGCGCCTTATTCCATATCATTCTCTCTGTTATTTTGCTTTAGTGAAACCCACAACTCGATCTCTGGGAGTGGCCTAGAAAATAACCATCTTAGAACTGAACCTATGAGAATTTATGACTCTTCCCTTTTAGTCGCTGCAACGAAAACCACATATAAGATCAAAAGTTTTAGATTGATATCACAATACTTGGTATTAAGAACACACCCACGCGAAGAAGAAATCGATAACAGGCACTAACCCCAATGCTAGTGCCAAGAGATTACTTGATACTGACAAGTTTATATCAAACCGAATTACAGGGTTTTGATTCAAATAGCTATCTTAGTAGATTCTTCCAACTAATCACTTGATTGGTATCGAGTGGTTTTTAACCCTTTCCGTCTCCACGTTTTGTCGAGCTGAAGGAAATTTCAATCAAAAGGTCGGTATGATAACCAGAAAAAGCTACCAGCTTACCAAAACTCTTTCTGTTCTAGCTTCTCTCTTCGAAGACTGTTTCCCAGCTGGATAATATTTTTCTCTTCATTCTAGATCCTTCTACAGATGTTGCAGACCTTTATTGTGGAGGGTTTCCGGGGAGGGCAATTTGGCACAGCAAAGGAAGCGCTCGATATGTATCTATAATTGGGGCATCCACTTCAGCAACGGGGTCCCCATACTAGGAACCATTTTACGCGGAGCTGTGGTAACCGCGGAAAGGGGTTGTAAAGCTCAAAGAACAAGTGACTAACTTTGAATATGGTCAAAAGCGCCACTACAGTTTCGAATTTTGTACTAAACTGCATATGACATATCGCAAGCCCGTTGATATTCAAGCTTGATTGAGGTCCTATTCGTGGCAGCATAGGCTCCGCTTCTGGAATGAGAAACCTCTCTTGTATTATATATATCCCGTGCCCTACATCCGGATTGAAAAACGAGCATTTTTCATTGATTACTTTACCGTTGCACTATTGTTGGTATGTCCTTGTCTTCATCGTCCACAATTAGCATCATCAATGTTAGCCAAGGCCTATCGGGCCTAATGGCCGACGTAAGCCGTGCTTTCTTCATTTGTTACCAAGAATATACTGCAACAGGCACACCACTGTGAGTCTGACTCCTAACAGCACAAACGATCTATCTGACAAAAGAATAAGAGACGAAGAAACTACCACTGGAGTGGAGCTTGAAGAAGGGTCACTCACTCCCTTGAATGATTCCCTTTCCATCCCGGCTATATTTCAGGATCCACAGGTTATCCAAGAGATCTTGAATGATCCAAGTATTGGAGGGTTGAAACTTGTGGTATTCGAGTGGGTGATATGTTCTTCTTTCATGGCTTAACGACTGATGAAGTGATAATCAAGCCGAAACCAGGGTACATCAGCAAGCACTTCTTTTCTGTAAGCACAAAGTTCCCCACTCGTACATCCGAAATCAGCTAACGTCCCACAGGGCGTTCTCGATCAGAATCGCAGCTCCGCGGTTTTCCTTATTGCCAATCTCCAGCCATATATCCCTGCGGCAACAAGTACAGGATATCATCCTCACAATTTGCCCGTAGAGGAGCAACATCAATTGATGTGGATGCCTCGATACCCTAGTTACGCACCCTCGTGGTACTTAGTTAGATAGTTAGATTGAGAGCTCTCTCTTCTCCTAACGCAACCTTTTTTTGCTCCTGCTTTTGGTGCCTACACTCTGTATTGTATTGCGTGATAATTGATTTCCTCCCGTATTCTGATACTTTATTATTTCTTTCGATTTCTTCCATAGTAAATGTCGGGACATATACTCCCGTCAGAATAAGCAAAGAGGGGTTGTACGTAATCTTGCTAAGCAACGGCTCCCGCCGTATGGATTCAGGGGTATTGGGCCTTGACCTAGGAGGAACATCTATTTTACATGAATCAAATTGACTTTTGCTTTGGAAGCATAACCACTGTTCACTTAACTGTGTACACGGTACCTAGCGCTGGTGATACCAACAACTTCTAATGGTAGGAATATTATTCGGGTACACGTTACTTTCTTTCATCTTTGTATTCGAGAACCTGCAGTACAATCTAGTGTCCTAACACTAACAAAAGAGTCCGGTTAAAATTATTCGCATAACCAGGGTTAAGAATTGTGACATGGACGGAAATAGACTGGTCGTGTTAGAAACAATGGACTGTATTATATCCAAATTCAAACCCACTGTCAAGAAAGATTTTGCCCGTGAGAACACTCCAGTGCTTCATATTCAAGATATACTGCTTTGGTTATCAAAATCCTCTAGGCTTATACTCGGTTTTTCGAGAAAGGCATTTTCATCGTCGATTGCTTTATCTCTGCACTTTTTAATTTCCGCTCCCTAAGTAGCAATACCCGGAAACAATGAAAAAGCAGGTAAGCTCGGCAAATATGCCGTAAGTTTAGACGATGCTGCACCAGCAGAATCCTTACCATATACCTTGTGATGCCGGCGCTGATCTTTCATTTGAGAAAATAGGCGATTCGATATTGTCTGATATCGACGAATGGGAGTCTGACGGCTCGTGGTGCCGCATAAGGAGAAGGCTGCCAATTGGTTTGTGTCTTTATATTCCATACCATGACGCGCAAGGATATAAATGCTTTCCATTTCCCTGAGGAAGGTTACGTTCCAAGAGGCGAAGATATTTATTGGCATCTGACTTGAATTATTCTGGGCTCAAAATGGAGATATGCCTCTCTGCAGCAATTACATACCTGATGGTCTTGAAATTAGAAGTGAGCTTCGCTTTCCGTGTTGAGGAAAATTACTAACCAATTGACCCAGCCCTGGGATATGTTGCACATCCGGGAGCAAGATGAAAAAGCTGTGACAATAGGAGCAGCGGGGTGGAAGCTAGAGCCTTCCCTGAACGAGATGAAAAGCTCCATATTCGGGTGCGCATTTCTTCTCGACCACGGAGGATATTTTTGGTGCATGGTTTGTCACACACTGCGGCATTGGAGGAATCCAGAGTGGAAGCCACTATCCGGAACCGAAGGCCTTCGAGTTGGCAGCAAAACTCAAAAAAGACTACTGCCTCTATGCCCTGTCGTCTATGGCAATACTTCCACTTTGGTTCCATTCACTGTGCTGGAGATGACGACACCTGGTCGAACAATGATTTGGCAGGCTGAGCATCCGGATAGCCAGTACACGCTACGAGTCAAGGTCCAATTACTACGCCAAATTTGTAAAGCAGCTTTGATTGGAAATTGGAAGTATTTCCGGCGCCTGATCCTCAGCTTCGCCATTTGTGGGTCACGACTGTTGTTGATTGTCATTGTCATGACCCAGGGGCTGGTAAATACTGTTTGGGAACGGATCTCTGGGAACTCTTTCGAGCCACTTGAGTGATTGTGCGCATTAGGTTTTTTTTTTTCCTTCTCGTTATGAACTTGGGCTACCCGGTAGGGCTCGAAGTCACCCATCAATGTGACGCAATATCATTCCTTTTACTACTCGTTTGCAACAACCTGGCCATTGATTTCCAGCCTTATTTAGAACACTTTCGAGATGGTAATCGAGGCATTACACTCTGTCGGGATAGATCTCCACTTAGTATGCCTTTTTCGGCGTTTATAAAAGTTCAGCTACAAAGCAGATACTCTCCTCTTTCGGCAAGACATCATTACAACATGATAATAGGTTGCCCGGTTCGACAGAAGGGAGTATACACCATGTCTAGAACGTACTCTAGATGACGGATTAACCAACGATCATGTTGGACGGAAGAAGCGGAGAGGCTATAACTGGGTTCAAGGTCAGCCGTCCTACTCCACTAAAGTAAGTCTGAAAGTCGCGACGTCTCCTGTCAATTATAAAGTTACCAATCGCCAGACCAGCATTACAAGAACCTTCATTTTTATTCATTGAATGACCTTTCTATTCCAAGAGCTCGAGGAGTCAGCAATCTCAGTGTACTATGGCAGCTCGAACTAGTACAGCATGCGAAACTTGTCGCACTACTAGGAAACGCTGCGCTGGGGGACCTCCTTGTCAGAACTGTTTTGAACGGGGGAAAGAGTCTTGTGAATTTGTCCTCACTGCAACTAGCAGGAAGCGTGTTGCACAGCAGGCAAGGATCGAAAGTGACGCATGCGGTCCGTGCCTCACGAACAGCACACTTTGCAGGGGAGGACCGCCGTGTGAGGAATGCGTTCTACGTGGAAATGGAGCATGTACGTTTGAGCTTGACTCGCGCAGCGAGAAGCACCTGGCAAGGGCCAGATCTGCCTGCCTGCCGTGCCGCGCCAAGAAAATCCGCTGCACTGGCAAAGGAGTTCCGTGTGTATCATGTACTCTTCGTGGAATTGAAAGTACGTGTGAGTTTGCAAAAACAGTTCACACGAAACCCACAATATCGCATACACCTCTATGTCAGTCCGTTATTCCCGCCGAGTCATCCTGGAATGCAGTACTAGAGAAGGCCCCAGTCCAACCGGCTGAGAGCCCTCTCCATGAAGAGTCTTACAGTAGTCCGTCATCCTACACCTCCACTCTTGCTGCTATTGATACGAGACGAGCATTCCACGATGAGTCAGAGGGAGTTACCACACCACTTTCCAAAACCAGCTGTTTGACTGCCCTGTCGGAGCTGGGCAGAACTCCAAGCCCAGATGTTAGCAGTTCCGACAGTGCTGTTGGCCCATCTTCACTGGCAGGGTGCGCTTCATATGAGCAACTCCTCGACGTCCTCCCAAACCGTGAAGTGATTGACCACCTTATAGAAAGATACTTTACATCTATTTCCATGGTAAATTTGGCCTATCAAACTGCCGAGATATGTTCACTAACATCACGCTAGCTATGTTGTGTCATCGACGCCGCCAGCTTCGAAGCTGAGTATGAGGCATTCTGCCGCAATTTTCATGTCGCGCCGCAATCCTGGCTATCCTTGCTTTTTGCAATTCTAGCACTAGCCTGCCGTGCGGAAGAAGATTCTGGAAGAGGCTGTTTCTCCGATGATTTGTCGATGCGGTACGAGGAAGCTGCCTGGCACTGTCTGTTGACCAACGACCCACCATTTGAAATATCACAGAGTTCACTGAAAGCGATGGTACTCATAATCTATGGTCGCACACACCGTGGAGAGGATGTATTCAGTGACCTGCAACTGGCCTGCCGTGCGGCAATATCTACCAAATGTCATGTGGATACCGAGCAGTGTGTTGTCCAGCCCAAGGTTTGCGAGGAATACCGATGTATTCTGGTTAGCCTGAAAGCCCTGTTTATGCTCAACGCTCAGATGCACGACTACTACCGCAACCCGGTACTCACCCAAGGTATACAGCTACTAACTGATATCTGCAAAGAGTATCCTGAACATTCAAGCCTATCAACAGGTGCCGCAGAATTATCTCCCATGGAGACGACGTTTACCATGTTGAATTCTCAACTGTTGAAGATATCAGACACGATCTGTGTGAGCGCAGAGCGTGGTTTGATGTCAGAGTGTACCCTCGCTGTCCTTGAGACTGAGCTAGACCGTATGGAGAAAGCCTGCAGCGAGCTTAATACGAAGCTCGGTGGACCTGGTTCGCAGTCAATCTCTCATCAAGGCGGCTATGGTATACTGCACTGCTATATCAACTATCTGCTTCGTCTTCTCTTTTTGCCTTATCTTCAGCGATACCTAGATGGGGAGACGACACCAGAAACAAGATTATCTGCATTGAAGTGTATTGCTTTTGCAAAGGCTACGTTGCGAGTGTTCAATCTTTTGGCTGAGAGCATGCAGTCCAAATCATATGCTTGGTATATGCGAGGTCTCGGAAGCTACTATGCTGAACAATCAGCATATACTCTCATCAGAGGCGCTGCAGGGCTCCAGGGAGGAAAGGAAGACCAAGAGGTCGAGTCTTTACTAAACCGTACGCTGGAAATATTTTCTAAGTTATCGGCACGCAGCATATTCTCTGCAAGAGGAGCGTTTATTCTCGAATACCGATGTATGCGTCAGCCACCCAAACGCTATTCTCCGGGTGTTATTATCTAACTTCGTTCCAGGATCGGATGTGAGGCTCTTCGGAAGAGGGGAAAGATACCTGTTCTGAGCATGATCATCGATACTGGACAGGCATGTCTTCGCCTTGAGCCGCTTGAAACATTGTATGGGTTAGTGTTTTAGACGACAGCTATTCATTCCTGTATTAAATGCCATATCCTTATGTACGCTTTTGTATTCCTTCTGATGAAGTTAACAAGCCCCCGTCCATTAAGTCTGTACATTAAATCGTCATATTATTCTTTCTGGAAGAATTGTAATCCTCGAATTGTAGATAGACAGAACTTTGAGAGTGGAACCGTAAGCCTTGCAATGAGTCCAGTGGATGGATTCATAATGGCCATAGCTGAATGGTTACAATGCATATTAGAAGACCAACAAACTCCTCGGCCTTGGTTTCCCAACAGATACGTTTTGGTGCGATAGTACGCGCGGAGAATGACATGTTACCCATCGTCCTAATAGTTCCGTCTTCCCGTTGAAGGCTAGAAGCACCTACGCATTTGTCTAATCGCTAAGTCGAAGCAATATAAAAAGGCATATTCCCCGCAGGTTACACATTGGTACAAGAAATAATCATTTCTTTCTTTTATAGTGGGACAAGTCCTACAA